TATAATGTGAATATTAAACCCGACCAACCATTTTGTCATTGCATGTTATCTGGTGCTAACACAGATGATGGTCAGAGTAATCACATCAAGATTTCGGCAACAACATTCCTCACTGTTATATTGTATTTGTTGGTATAAAGCAAAGCCATGGAAGTAATAGAACCCTGTCCATAGTCAGGTAGAATCCAGCTTTATTGTTTTGCCGGGGGCGTGGCTAGATATGGTCAATCTACTACACCTTGTGATCAGTCATCTTCCTGATTCAGCAATCAATGAGAGAAGGTTATGCACAAGGTGACATTGAGAAGACGGAGAATTCCGGCAGAACATGTCCGACAGACCTCAATATAGTAGTAGTAGTACTGGTAGTAGTAGTAGTAGTAGTAGTAGTGGTGGTAGTTGTAGTAGTACAGAGAGTTAAACTATATGGTCATGGGGAGATATTGAAGAGGGTAAGATAACTGAAAAATAGAGAGCTATATAACAGACATTAGTAGATAGAAGAGAGAAGAGCATAGATCGTAATATTCAGTTGATAATGCAGGTCACATTTGAGAGAGATAAAAATGGAGAATTAAATAACAGATAGATAGATAGATAGATAGATAGATAGATAGATAGATAGATAGATAGATAGATAGGTATAAATAGATAAATGATAAGCTGGCCATACACCTTACAATTTATCTGCAGATTTTCTGTGGTCAGATGGAAAAGGTGCAACAGATTCCTCCATCTACACTTAATTGTGAGGATGGAGTAATCTCCACCTGGGCCAATCTGTTGCACTTTTTCCATCTGACCACAGAAAATCTGCAGATAATTGTAAGGTGTATGGGCACAGATAGATAGATAGATAGATAGATAGATAGATAGATAGATAGATAGATAGATAGAACATTTTTAGAGAGATGATTAAGTGCAATTTTTAGATTTAATTGATCCTATTTTTTGCCCCCACACCCCATACATAACATTGTCTGTGCAATATCTGTGTCCTCCTGCATGTGAGGTCTCGAATTACGGATATAAAAGCCCCTCCATCAAATTATCCCTAACCTCAGTGCGGGATTACAGGATAATATACTTTGCAGGCCATCAACGTAATCACTCCTCCCAGCATTTCACCCTGCTAAACCCATAAGCACATTACGGTCCTCTCTGCCCACTCACAAGACTGGACATAAATTAATCAAGGAGAAAAAGGAATAAAAAACGCTATGGACTGTGAATGGAAAAGCCGCTTTGATTTTGCTCGGATTATGGTTCTAGGAGGAAATGAATGAATGGATGGCAGCATTAAGGGGAGATGTTTCCACCAGCACTGGTTTCCTGTGCATAACCCTTGGGGTTACCTTGCCGCACACAGGGGCATTAAACACCATTGATGAATTACACAATTAGATTTTCATTACATTCTGACCTACAGACATAAATCGAGATTTCTATAAAATAAACAATAAACCGCCTGTACCAGCCGAATAGATTCAGTTACATTGGTTTATTATGCAGAGTTAACAGATTTAGAACAATAGGGGGGACAGGAAGCTGTGTTAAACAACCCAATGAAACGATTTACAAATATACTACGATTTTAGCTATAGTGTTTACAATCAGAAAGCATTAAATGCACAATAGATATAGCTTTCCAAAATGTAATTGATAATTCCATCTTTTGCATAGTACAGTTAGGTACTGCTGTATTTTCTATTGAAAAAAATAAGACAAAGCCTTAGACCAGAGCTTATTCTTATTTTATTTCCAAGACATGTACAAGGATGTAGAAGTCCTAACCAAATCTGCTTATGTATTGTAGGTATTGTATGTGAGTTTGGCTTTGCTTCTGTCTATGAACCAGTTGAAATAAAGCATGTAAAACGAAACACCCTTCTTTGGCAGATGGAATAGGTTGGGTCACCTCTAAATGTATAAAATAATACAATTGAGAGCTTATAATCTAGTAGGAGGGGATTGATAATGACATATCTGGGGATATACATGTATACATTTTTACCAAACATTTCTTACCTGTGCAGACGGCCTAAGGTATTCCCAGCCAATTTCTTGAATTCCTCTTTCCTAAACTCCATGGTGATCCTAATCTGGAGTCGTCCAAGTCCTAATTCTGAGCTTTTAGGAAAAAGTTCTCATTACGACATTTAAGATATGTGTTAAAAAAAAAGACCTTTGCGGTTTATCTAGGTGTTTTCCTTCTTTCTAATCTTGACACATTAAGCTCCCGATTAAAAGAAATCAAAAAAGCTGTCTAAGGTTTGGCCTTAAGACAGACAGGCATAAGTAGACATGCGCTTATGTAGTAACGAGGAGAGCCATAGGAGTGAGAAGAGGATAGATCAGGCTGTGCTATGCACTATAATATCCAATAAATCTTCTTCTTTCTTGCGTGGGACGGCCATGAACAAGAGTGGAAAATCTCTGTAGTCAGTGTTAGCTGGAAGCTCTTGTTGGGAGAGATGCTGGACGCGGGCGTTGGAAGCCCATTAGGCTGGACTTTGCTTCAGCACCACGGACAGCGCCAAGTGGCGTCACTCCGTTTAATGGAATCCTGCAGTCTCAGCACCAACTTCAAAGGGACAGCCTGAAAGTCTTTGTAGTTGGAGTCATTGACACCTAGGCAGCTATTGGCCCCATCATGCAATTCTGTACACCCAGAGCCTGCAAGTGTAGAGGATGAGTTCCCTGCAACACGATCAGCTGCAGCCGCCTTACCCCCACCTCTTCCTCCCAGCTAACAGCACCATACACAGCTCCACTTCAATTGCTATATTTGGAGAAGGATTAGAAGACGTTTTCCTGCTTGTCCCAGATGAATTCTAGTGTGGGAGGGGGTGAGGAACTTTGGGAGGGGGTGATGTAGAAGCAGGAGACATTGCTTGTAATAATCTGTAAAGGTACTTAAAGAGGGGGGATGGGTGCAGGTGGTCTGGATTTCAGGGTGGGAGGGATGAGGAAAGGTTTGGTTAGGATAATTTTATTTAGGAATGTATCCTATAGTACAATGGTTAATCCCCTTCCTACTCGATTGTAAGCTCTCAAGAGTAGGGCTCTTCTAACCCTCTTCAATTGAAATTGTATTGTAACTGTACTGTCTCCCTCCATTTTGTAAAGCGCTGGGCAAACTGTTGGTACACCATAAATTCTGTATAAAAATAATAATAATAATAATCTATTTAACCTGTATAGCCTCTGGTACTAAAGTAAGAAATGGAAAAAGAGTCATTCCATAATACAATACACATGCTACTATATTACAAATAATAATTAAAAAACAAAAAAAAAAAATATATATATATATATATATTGCAAATACAGAGTTACATTGTTTAAAGGGGTTAATGGTCCTGTAGTCTTTGGGTAGTCCATTCTCAATGGCATTTCAAGCAGCTGGAAGATACAGGGAGCAGGGAGCTCTGTGTGGTATGTGGCTTACCCGTGTCCTGCAAAATAAGTCATACCTAGTTAAAGGAGAACTATGGGGTTAAGGCTTTTCCTTAGGGTAACGGGAGGACACAAACTAGCATCCTCCCATCACCCTAAGCTCAGTATACCGCGAGTTACAGCTCGTGGTATACTGAGACGCCACAGTATACCACGAGCTACTGCTCGCGGTATACTGAAACGCCGCAGCTGAAGTGGATCCCGACAATTATGTCTGGATCCGCCCAGCTGCGTGAGTGACAGCAGGCTCTGGATCGAGAGGTGACAGGATCAAGAGGTGAGCGAACGCCGGTATGTGTTCGCTCACATCCCGATCTACTGAGCCGACCTGTGACAGTCTCATTGTCACAGGTCGGCTAGAACTATGAGGTGAGTGAAAAGCACTCACCTCATAGTTCTCCTTTAATGTCTAGTTAATAAATTCAACCAATGTTTTGTTATTATTGCTATCTATGTATAACTTTTCAGTCCAGCTTTTTCAATGTTTCCTACTGGTCTCATGCACACTGCTGTAAAAAAATAAAAACATTTTTTATTTATGGATCTCAAAACTATAACGGTATATTGTTTTCAATGGAGCCATGCACACAGGTGCGTAAACATCCTCTGCATTCAGATATGTAACACTTAATTGAAAAATCTGGATCTGAGGACAAAAATGTTACATGTTTATGTGCGGTAGGTTGTGTCTTATATGCAAACACAACCTACCAGGTGAACCTGCTGCAGTTGGCATGTAGAGGGAGACCGACCAGTGTATCTCTTTTGTTAAGAGTTTAAAGTAAAACTAATTTGCTTTTAAAAATCCAGGGTCTTAATTACATGTTAACCATTTTAGCACACTTTGCTGGAGATTTTAACCTGCTTCTGTTTTCTGGCTATTGGTGCCAGAACATTCAAAAGATGACTATTTAGTTGGGAGGGTCTGCAATGAGAAAAGCAGTCATTGCATCACTTTACAGATAGAAGAGTCTTAGATAACATCTCTTTGCTAATACATAGAATACTGTAATTTAAAGACCAATTCCAGCTTGGGATAAATACTAAAATATTGATCCCAGCAGCTCTTACAAAATAAAAAAAAAGCAGATCCAGCTGATAAACTCACTCTATCTCTTACACTGCCCCCCACAGACTCACCCATTTACAGATCCATATTCATTTAGCCCACTTCCTGAAAGCCCAGGGTATCAAGGCTCCGCCCCCCTTGCCCTGGATTCACAGGAGATTTCTGCAGTGAGGGGCACCAGGTCATTTTATCATCTATGGAGCATTCAGGGTCTGCCCACTGCTGGAGAAAAAAAAAAGAGAACCCGTTGAGTCAGTGGACCTGACTGAAGACACCTAGAAAAAGGTATATTTTTTAGGCTGTGGGGTACTCTAGTGGGGAGCTAGGAAACATTGACATTTAGTGACATTAGTGCTTTATTGTGCCTGCATGTAATGAGTATCTATAATAGCTAACAGATGTAAATAGCCCCAAAAACACTAGAAAAAGTCCAAGTTTTATTTTAGGCAGGCTGTCACTTAGCTGATGTACATTTGGTCATTGGAGCATACACTCTGGATCCCCTGTTGATCGGAGCAGTAATTAGCTTACCAGACCCATGTTAGGTGAATAGGGAGTCAGTCAATGGGGAGGCGGTTTGTCTGTTTCCATCAGATTACCCCTGATCTGTCACAATCAGGTGCACCCAAATGGACCTCAGCTTTTTTCCAGACCTAGACGGAGTTGGGGATAATCAGATGTAAGCAGCCGCATGTCCATTTAGATCCAGCTGCCTATAGACTAACATTGAGCTTCTGATCAGATCTGCCTAAAAAATTGACAGGGGCCTTAGTTATATAAAGGGATATTTTATTATTTTGTAACCACATGCAAGCTTCTTTTAACCTGATATACACATTGCATGCATATCGTGCAATCTCTTCATTTATGTCTAAGAGGCATAGTTACTGTCAAGTATTTCTGTTCAACTCCAAAGAGGTGAATAGGAGAATAAACATTTATTTCAAATCTGATTTACAGGTAGCACTATCAACCCTTCCCTACTGTGTGATTGTTCACAATATAGCACCATAATGCTCTAAAAACTGGATTTGCTGGTTTTACAATATCTTTTTTTTTTTTTTTTTAGTGTCTTTATCTAATTAATGATCTGTTTTTCTGAGCTATATTCGTGATTTTCCTTTGTCCTTTATCTGAGGCTATACATATATCTTAATTGTATAAACATGCAGATCATGTATTTTATACTGTGATTGTGATGACATGAGCAAGAACAAATTTTGCTTTCTGCAATACTAAACACATTACGCGGAGGATGCATTGATAGCATATCCATCCCAATTGAATTATGGCCCATTATAGAAGTCATCCAGATTTCAGAAGCACATGGCCCTCCAGATCATAGTGTGTTAACACTGCCAAGTGTGTATAATGAGATCTGCCAAATACATGTTATTGTAACTCAGATGGATTACTGTCAAACAGAAGATATTCACAGATTAAATTGCCAACTCCTGGATTTAAGCCAATCATTTTTAATTGGCAGTTGTTTAGTTGTTGCAATAATTAATTAGCATGAATGGAAGGCAGGGCAGATTTGTTGGTAAAACTGGCTACTCTAAAAACTACCATCTACATGCCAGTATTTTTTAAGTGTACCATTAGAGATCTATGGAAAATTATTCAAAAGAGTTAGATCAGATAATGGTATGGGGATGGGGGAAGAAGAGGAGGAAGGCAACCCCACTCATCCTGTGACTGGGCAGCAGACACCTGTAAAAAAAGGGATTACGCTCATAATTTTGAAAAAATAAAAAAAACAAGCTGGAGAGCAGGGAGTAAAGGAAATGGACTTGGAAGCCAATCTGTCAGGGGAAAAACCCCCAAAACATGCTGGAGGTATTAAATGCAGCAGCCTCCAAAAGACTGGCACTGCAGCCCAGTAGATGTCTAAGAGTAGTGACTTTTGTCAGCCAGTAACCATAGTAGAAAGCTAGCGCTGTAAGGGAGGGGAAAGCAAGGAGGGGTGCTAGGACAGTTATTGTCATTGCATTTATTTTATGATTGCTCAATTTTTGCCTGTTTGTTAAAAATATTGCAGTTTGTTTCCAGTGTATTATAATGATTTCCCATGTTGTGCCTACATTTTGTAACACTTGCCAATTTGCTGCCTGCGTTTTGAATGGTTGCCTGTTTGTTACTCACGTATTGCAATAATTACCTCTTTACTGCCTGCATACTGTTACAATTGTCATGTTCTTCAGTCAGTGATTTTGTTCAGTGAACCACATTGCTATAATTTACTTCTATGCAGGCCTATCAAACAACACCACTATTCTCCACGTATTTTTGCCATTTTCAGGGGCTACTTCAGATATGTTTTAGCACCTTTAGGTATCTGCACTTTATACCTGCATTCGTTTTTCCTGGCAGAGTCTCTTAGATAAAAACTCTAAAACCATTTTAGTTTCCTTTTAATGGATGAGTTACAAAAGGGCAGAAAAATTAAATGAACCTGTTTTCACTCCACAAATCCTATCATGTACAGGGGAAGTTCCAATATTAGCATTTTATCAAATCTCCTTCAATGTTATATAATTCTATGGGCAGCCCATATAAGTGTGTGTAGTGCTGTAAGTCTATTGCAGGTGGAATGGAGGCTCTGGTCTGATATTCTTTATTAACTGGGTATTTGGGTGGGTGTGAGCAACTATACTAAATGTTTAACTATCATTTCCAGTTTAAAAT